GCGTCCCCGCTGTCCCGCCCGCCGCGCGGCAGAGCCTCCGGCCCTCGCCCCCTCCCTTGTTGTCCAGCGCAGCCGCCCTCTACCCCGGATCCAGAAGTCCCCTCCCCGCCGGCTCCCGGACTCCCCGCCTTAAAGGCACAAGCTCCTTTTGTCTGGGCACCCCCTCCCCCTCCCAGAGGCGGGGGCACAGCTGCCCACTCCCCTCCACGGCACCCCGGCCGGGTGAGCGGGGCCAGCGTCCCGCGCGCCCCCTCCCCAGCCCTCTGCGTCCTCCCCGGGTCCCCGAGGAACAAGCGGCCACTGTTCTGGGCTTCGGAGCCCGCGGGAGGGTCGGCGCGCCCGCCTGCGCTCCCGCCTCCACCCTGGGCGGCATCCTGCAGGGCGCCCTCCGCCCTCACCCGGGGGTCCGCCGAGGCCGGCCAAGCCACCCGCCGGCGGCGAAGGTGCCCGCCCCGCCCGGAGGGTCGGCTTCCTTCCTGTCGGGGTGCCCCGCGCCCCCTCCCCACCCCACCTTCCTCCGGGCCCCAGCCCCCACCGCGCCCGCTCGCCCTCCCTCTCCACCGCGGCCCCGCTCCCTCCGGCGGGAGCCGAGTTTAATAATTAATTAAGATTTCATTCCACAAGGCGCCAGGTGTGTGCGCCTGGCACCCGCTCGCCCGCACCCTACTTCTTTCCGCTTCCCCAAGCCTCCGGGGCGCCGGCCCCGACGCAAACCTGCTGCGCCCAGAACCGGATCGGGCCGCGGCCGGGGGCTTCCTCGGTGCCGCCTCCGGCCCCGCGCTCTCTGGGGCAGCCCTTCCGCCGCACCTGCCAACCGGCAGAGTCCCTCCCCCGGCACCTTTTACCCAAAGGGTTGTGCTTCTTTGATGTGGGGGGCTGGGGTGCATTGCCAGGTTCATGAACTGAAAAATTGTTCCGGGATGTTTATTTATTTCCCTCGTAAGCAGCTGCCCAAGTTACCTGGGAGATGTGAAAATCATGTGAAAGCTGGTTTAACCCTTTGAGGGGTGGAGTGGTGGAACCAGAAAGGAGAGCCGGGCTCAGGGCTTGTTCCCAGGGCTGGCGTAGGTGAGTTGGCTGAAGTTTGCCTTTGAGTCCCCAGTCCCTCAGCCAGACCCATAGCTGCACCCCTCTCCTGCTATGCCCTAGGCTCACGCGAGCTCCCTTACATTTCCTTCAGGGCCCAACTGCCGACCAGTCCAGATCCCTTCTAGGGTTCACCTAAACTCAGGACAAAATTTGTAGTAAAGAAGAAGTTCCTGAACTAACTCCTAATCCCACATCTATCAGAACGGCTGTGGATGCGTGACTTGGTGGATCTCTGAGTTCGAGGCCAGCCTGGTCTACATAGAGAGTTCCAGGACAGCCATGGCTACACAGAGAAACCCTGTCTCGAAAAAAGAAAACAAAAGCTACCATGAGTAAAAACATCCCTTACTGCCTCAGAGCCTCTCTGGTAAAAATGAGTGTAATCCTCCCGCTCTCTGTCACAGGAATCTCAGGTTCAGAGAGGGGAGCTTGAAAATGAGAAAGTAGCCTGTAATCCCAGCACTCTTTGAGGCAGAGGCAGGCCCATCTCTGTGAGTTGGAGGCCAGCCTGGTCTACAGAGTGAGTTCAGCACAGCCAGGGCTCTGGAGGGTCAGCCCCTGAGAGCCTTTTGCTCCTCTTTCTGAGAACCTGAGTCTGACTCCCAGTACTTACTCCAGCTCCAAGTGATCCAGCACCTTCTTCTGGCCCCCAAGGCACTGGAATGCTCATACAGGCGAATTAAAACAAATATTTCTTTTTAATGAGGAAGTGGTCATCTGTGGCTGCCATGTGTGGTTCTCAATCGGTCCAACTGGCCAGTGACTTAGCTTTTGGGATCCGTGCCTGACTTCTCTCCACCACTATCTAGATTTCCTCCCCACCCGAACCAGAAGAACCCCCGCCCCTCGCTGATTTGAAATAATGTAGTCTGGGATCGATGGGGAAATGCAGCAAGTCCCTGAGATAGAGAAACGTGGTCTGGGGGCTGGAGAGTTGGCCCCGCAACTGTGAGCAACTGCTGCTCTCCCAAAGGCTCCGGGCTCCATTCCCAGCCCCTACGTGGCAGCTCACAACCAACCGGGACCCCTCTTCCAGGGGATCTGAGTAGTTACACCAGGAACACCTGTGCCGGCAGGCGAAACACCCATACACATAAATCAAACTTTATCTTTCTGAGATGGGGGCTCTTTAAACAGCCTGGGCTCTCCTGGAGCTTATTACACAGCCAGGCTAACCTTGAACTCACAGAGATCCTCCTGACTCTGCCTCCCAAGTGCTGGAATTAAAGGTGCGTGTCACCACAGCTGGCCACATTTTTTTTTTTCTTAATTAAAAAAAAAAAAAAAAAAAAAAAGCCAGGGCCTAAAGAGATGGCTCAGGGGCTAAGAGGACCAGTTGCTCTTGCAGAGAACCCAGGTTGGATTCCCAGCATCCACATGGCGGCTCACAGCCATCCAGTCCTGGGCGCTCCAGTGCCCTCTTCTGACCCTGGCAGGCAGTAGGCACACGTGTGTAAACACACAGGCAAAGTGCTCACATACATAAAACATTAAAAAAGTGAGCTAGTGTTATTTCTATAGAAAGAAAGGTAGGCCATCTGGCACAGTGGTTCATTCCTGTAATCTGAGCTCTCTGGAGGCAGGGGCAGGGGGATTACCGCAAGTTAGAGTCAAGCTGGTCTACAGAGCAGGACCCAAGCCAGCCGGACCTATATCCTGAAACCGTCTCAAAGAAGCAGTGGGGGGCAGAGATGGGCAAAGACTAAAGGCTCTGCCCGAGGCTTGGGGTCGGTCCTCAGGGCACACACAGTGGAGGGAGACAGCCAACTCCTGCCAAGTGTCCTCTGATACCTACACACCATGTGCTGTGCCGTACATGCGCACACACACAGACTCATACACACTCGAACACGTACACCTGCATTCACACACTCAGATACACAGAGACTCACAGACTAATTCATGTATAGACACAGACACGCACACACATGTTCATACATTCACACACAGAGAGACTGACACACACAGACTCACTCATTCACACTCGCATACATACACACATACACACACTCCTAGACACACAAAGACTCACACACACAGACTCACTCCTACATACACACATACACACCCACTCAGACACACAGAGACTCACACACAGGCTAATTCATGTATATACACAGACACACTCACACATACACAAACAGACTCATACACACACACACACACACACACACACAGATTCTCTCTCTCTTTCTCACACACACACTCACTGTAAGACAAGTAAAGTGTATACACTGGGCCTGGTGGTACACCTACCGTCCGGGCTACTCAGGAGGCTAGGGTGGGAATGTTGCATGTTCAAGCCTTGGCTAGGGGACTTAGTGGGTCCCTGTCTCTAAATAAAGAGTAAATAAATAAATGGAGGAAGAAGACGCCGAGAAGAAAGGAAGGAAGGCGGACAAGACCGGCTCACCAGGTAAGGTGCTGGCTGCCAACCCTGAGGACCTGCGTTCCACCCTCGTTCTTTTCGTGGAAGAAAAGAACCAGCTCCTTCAGGTTGTCCCTGGGTGCCCACAGGAGGTCACACGTAAGAAATAAATGAATATAATATAATGGATTTTTTTTGTTTTGGTTTTCAAGTCAGGGTTTCTCTGTGTAGCCCTGGCTGGCCTGGAACTCACTCTGTAGACCAGGCTGGCCTCGAACCCAGATCCACCTGCCTCCGCCTCCCGAGTGCTGGGACTAAAGCTGTGAGTCGTCACCACTGGTCAAGATTTTTTTTTTTAAGAGAGAAAGAAAATTGTGTGATTATGAAAGGAAATCTTATATTCGAAACGAGAGGCCTTGTTTATCTTTTTATTTTTGAGTGAGAAAGAATTTGGACACCTGTCAGGAAACTGAAGAAAGAACGCAGGGTTCTTTTCTGTGCTGAGTCCCACAGGCTTCTTTTCCTAGCAGAACTATGCATAGTCAGAGGTGATTCCCAACACCAAGTCTGTTCCTAGAATTCTACCACTCTGGGGCCTTCAGAATGAAGCCCTTATTTCATAGATGAGAAATATAAGCTAGGACTAGGAACATGGAAAATGCTCAGACACTAAGTTTGAAAATTATAGGGTATTTGAGCAGGGATGTGTCTTTTTTTTTAAGATTTATTTATTATTCATACGCATTCACAAGGGCACCATATCTCACTATACATGGTGGTGGCGCAGGCCTGTAATCCCTACACTCAGGGAGGCAGAGGCAGGTGGATCGCTGTGAGTTCCGAGGCCAGCCTGGTCTACAAAGCGAGTCGAGGACAGCCAAGGCTACTCAAAAAACAAAAACCAAGCCAATCAAACAGAAAAAGACCCAGCTAATCAGAGAGGGTGAAGGCTGTGGCATGAAAGGCAGCTTGCCCAGACACAGACCAATCGTGGGTGGGAGGAG